AACCGGGGAGTTCTCTGTCCGGGCCGGGTCGGTTGGCCTGGGGACGCGCGGAGTTACTGTCTGACCTCGTGCCCCTTCGTGCTTCTCACCAGGAAAATTGTTTCCTTTTTCCTCCATGGGCCCAACAAAAGCGGAAAATGGTGGCCTAGGTACCGACAAAGGGGAAAAACTCTGCGGCTGATGGGCGCTTGAGCCCCCGGGGAACCCGTGCGGTGCATTTGGGAGCTCAGGACCGCGCTCTGGAGAGAGCCGAAACGCCGCCTGGCGTTGCCGTTCTCATGGCGGGGGTGTCGTTTCGTGCGCACAGCAACAAGGCTGCGTGACCAGCGAGGCCAGGCGCTCCCGAAGCCCTCTTCAGCGTCTGCAGTCGGCGGCTGCCCGTGTGCGGGAGGCAGCAGAGGGTGCTGCGATTGCACGCACAGAAATGGAACGGCGAGAGGGCGAGGCAACACACACACCGAGGCGGCCGGTCACCACAGCGTGGCCCCGGGGCGTCGAAATCTGTCGCGTTATTAAATTAACTCCGTTACGTTGGAGGCCAAAGGAGGTGTCGAGGTCCGACGCTGCCTTTCCCTGACTGCGGATGGTGTTACCCTCCGGATGTTTTTTGCTCTTGTATTATTTGCAGTTGAGGAGGAAAGACTTCAGAAAAGTGCCTTTCGTTGTTTCTCATAGGATTAAAAACCTCATAAAAACTGAAGTGAGGAATATGTGTTATTTAAGTCTTCTGAGAGTGGGCGTCCTAAGGGGGCACCACGAGTGCTGGGGTCAGAAGTACAGACAGGCCGAAGCCTTGCACCATTGTAGGAAGTGGTGGTCGTAAAGCTCGCAGCCGGTGACCGCAAGGTGCAGAGACAGGTGGGCACAAGGAGTCCTTGCTGACACGGCCTTCCTGCCCGGTTGCAGGAGCAGTCGTAACAAACTCCTAATTACCCGAGGCTGTTTTGCCGGAAATCAGAGTGGGGTTGTGTTCTAAGGAGCGCTCGGAATGAGGACGATGCAATAGTGCAGTAGCGTTGCAGATTTTTGTAGGCAACTTCTTGTGAAAGAAGAGCAGAAATGGAAAAATTAAAACAATTGCAACATACTCCCGCTTGGAACCTACCGTGGTCACAGACACTGGAAGGCAGGAGTGCATTTCCACTCATGCTTGCCAAGAGAGGAGATGGGTGGTCTCATAGCTGAAACTCAGGGACTACAGCTCTCGCCTGATTTCTGACTCTTGAATTCACCAGAGCGGTCTTGTGTTGCCCTGAACCTGCCTCCTAACTTCCCTGTACCACCGTTTCTCTTTCATAAAGGTGCAGAAAGATACGTAGTTATTCTCTATTGCTTTCACGCAACAAAAACCCCCATCAATGCCTGTGGGATGAGCACCATGCAGTTTTTTGCCCCTCTCAACCCACTGTTAGGAGCTACGCCTGTTGCTGAGGTGTGCCTTCGGCATGCCGTGGACATACTCATGCCAACCTTCACATAGCTGCGGTATCCGTAGCAGCGTAGCTGCGGCATCAGAGACTGTACAAAGATACTGGGCACCTGCCTGTAGCACCAAAGCTTCTGGCTCTGCTGTGTGCTGGAAGAAGGGACAAAAGGGGAACCACTGTGAAGACTGGCAGAGAGTTGCATAAAGTTTACATTTTTCAAATCTATTGTTTTGTCAGCAATTTTTCTGAAATACATTTTCTTACTGCTAATAAAAGAAGTGGCTCCACTGAATTGCTGAATTTCTTTCCATAAGAAAGAAGGAGGATTTTTTTTTTGCATGTGTGCGTGTGCGCGTTAGCCTATCTTCCTCATCTTGAAGTTGTTTTTCAAGCCAGAATGTCACAATTTAATTGGGGGAGAAGCCTTCATCACAACTTGCAAACAAGGTGAAAATGGAATATTTTTAATGATTCTTTTCCAAAAAATAGATGGAACAGGGGAATGCTGACATTGCTTTACTTTTGCCAAAGGCTGCCAACACTCAGAGGGAATAAGCTGTTCAGCTGGCGAGAAAGTGCTGAGCAAACACTGAAGGAGCTAAAGGGATACTCCCAATCATGATATACTTGCTGTTCACTGTATCTCCTGCCCCGGTCTAATGCCTTCCCCCTCACCCCCTGCCCTCACAAAAGAGAAATAAAAGAAGAAAAAGAAAAGACAGGTTGGATTAAAACAGTAGCAAGAGGAATTGGTGGATCCTGAGAGCTGGCAGGGGCATCAGTATTTTGTAACGTGATCTGTCATGTGACTAGAGCCAGGCAATAAAAATAAGTCTCCTACCAGCCCTCCTGTTTGCTCAACTTTATTATGTGGTGTCAGTAGAGAACTACTTTTTTTTGGCAAAAGTTTAGCAAATGAAGCCACCTGAATCATTAAATCCTGAAGGAAATCTGGCAGAGAACTGGAGGAGGTTGTTGCTGCGCTTCCAAGTTTTCCTGGAAGCAAGCGTGTGCTGAAGAGAAACAGAGAAGGTGAAACCTTCTCCTCTCCTAAGTGTGGTGGGAGAGGCAGGAAGCAGAAAAACAAAATTATTAGAAGTAAATTAAATTCTTCATCAACCTTAGTAGCGGTTGTCAAAGATGTATTTGAATGAGCTGGAAAAGATAACTTCTTGTCGGACTATCGTACACACACATTCAGCTGCTGCACACCACCGTGAGCAGAAATGCAATAACATGCTGTAAATTACAGTTTGCTCACCACTGTGCTCAAGATGAGTTAATAACAGATAATGGCCCACAATTCACAAGTGGATAATTCTGGTAATTCTCTTTGATCTGTAAGTTCAAGCAGACCATGTCAAAGTATAGCTATGCACAGGAAAAACAGTCGGTTTTACAGCAAAACCCCAGTAACAGCCTCCCCCCTCTTTACAAGTCTGTCATTAGCACTGTAAAAACAGAGATGCACACCTCACTGCCTTACTGGCCTCACCAGATCGGAGATTAATGGGCAAAGCAAAAACCTTCCAGCGCCAACATTTAACAGTGGCTGGTTGGGCAGAAAGACGATTAACCCTGCAATAGCTACCAAAACATCCCCAAGCTCTGTGCCAGGGATATAAAGGAGAAAAGTTCTGGCTACAGCAGTGAACAGTTACTCATTTTTTCTAGTGCTGGGTAGATTTCCAGCAAAGCAATTACCAGGGTTACCTGAGTACAGCATCAGTCCCCAGATTAGCTCTTCACCTTCTTTGTAAGTGTCCCTTGTGAAGAGAAATAGAGGACATGCAAGGGGACGGTGATCAGAGTGCAGCTGAACAAGACAGATGTATGTGCACAAAGCGATGTTCTTTGCCTGATCAGCCGGTAACCATGGAAAAGAGAGATATTCTGAATACCTTATAGATTCAGACAGAGAGCTAAACAAGTCATTTTAGAAAGATCTTTCTGAGACCGTGTTATGCTACCAGAATGCTGCTGAGCGCCTGGTGAGAAGGCCGACTTCCAAAGAGAAGCTCTCCACAACAAAGTGGAAGTCTTCTCTCACCTCTTAGGAACCAGTTCATGTACCCTGAGCTCTTTCCTAAACATTTCTGTTCATCTTAGTGAGTTCCTCCTATTTTATTTAACATGATATTTACACAGAATGAGCTTCACAGATAGGCTAAATGTGACCTTGAGTTCAACAGGCACTGACTTTTGTTGCATAATAGCAACATTAACAGTGATTTATGTTTTGTGAGAAGACCAGGAAATAGATGCAGATACGTTTCTTAAAACTGTAACACACCACATTACTACTGTAGTGCAAGCTGAAGCCTATCTGGAGTGAGACACAAAAAGATTGTTTGTTGGAGATGGACTTCATGGTTTTGAAGTACCATCCAGATTTTAGAAAGCTTCTGTCAGCGAAGATAAGGGTTGCATATTTACGGTATTGTCATGCCTCTTACACATGCTCAAAATTGTTTTGTGACAAGCCCTCACCTCACAAAAAAATGGAAACAAGTAGGTCAAAAGAAAGGCAGCCCAGATGTTGAATTGGTCGTCTGTACAACTGATGGTGTCATCTGTGCTCCCTTGGGACACCCTGCGGCACAGCTCACCTTGGGAACAACGCAGCAGAGATGGCGCATCCCAGCGTGATGTGTGTAACGCATCCGTGAATAATGCCGTAGTGCACGACACACTTCTGGGAACAGTGACATTAAAGAGGCAATTCAGTTAACTCCCCGAGCACGAGGAAGGGCCTAGGGAGAAGAAGGAACATGTTGCCAGATGTGTTTGCTTTTGAAGGACAGGGCAAGCAAATCACAGTCTCAGAGACCTCCAAACCCAATGCAAAACACTGCAGTAAGACGGCCGGATGAAAAAAGAGAGTGCTGCAATGTAGGCATCCGCACCGTGATTTGAAGGTGCATTTGTCCCGATAACTTTCAGCTGCAAGCAGAGCCGAGGGAAGTGTGAGAACAGCCCGTTCTGAAGGAGCGCAGCTGCGAGGTGACACAGCCGGGCCCCCTGTCCCCAGTGCTGCTCTCCCTGGGCAGCCTCTGCCCTCCCCAGCCCGCTGCTGCCGCCAGGAAGGGGCACCGCGCCGCCCACGCAGGCGTGAACTGGGGGCTGCGTGGCTGAGAGTGCTGTGCCACGTGGCAGAAAGAGGCTTTAGAAGTGACTTACAATAGCATCGGCTTTGAGTCCGGATAAATGAGACACTCGTACAGAAACAAACAAAACCATATCAGAATGTGCTCATATCCTTACAAGACTGAGATGTATACTGTGGCTGAACTCCCGGTTTATATTCTCCACGGCCAGAATTATAACATCTTAGTAGTTATACCTCATATTATGTGTTACTCTCAAAACTAATGTGTTTTAAATTTTTAGGGATGTGAAATTAGTTTTCAGTGTACATCTCACTTATATTTTTTGAGGGCTACTCAAATGGCAGACCTTGGTCTGTGTTTGAACCAAGAGTAAGTTTTACAAGGCGTTTAGACATGTCCCCTCCACTTTGGGGTATGCACTTTTACACAGGGCACTCAAAGACTTTCTGAAAATAAACCATGAAATTCTTCTTCCTCTCAATGCCACTGGCATTAGCAGTGGTATTAATATTGTGCTATACAGTGGTATTAATAGCCATAGTGGTGTACAGGAGGTCAGAATTTGGGAGCTGACTCTGAC